TGCGTTGTAGTTGGTTGTGTGGTTTGTAAGGTGATCTCTTCCGTAGGCTTCAGGGTAGTTTGTCTTGTAGTTTGCTTTGTTTTCTCTTTTGTAGTTCTTGAAGTAGTTTTTCCTTCTGTCGTCATCTGCGTTGTAGGCTGTGTTGTTAGTTGTGTAGTCCTTTCAGTTGTATGTTTTGGCGTTGTAGGATTCTTTGTCGTTGGAATCGTGGTGACTTGTGCGGTTGTAGTAAGCCTAGTTGTGTCTTCTGTTGTCATCTGCGTTGTAGGCTGTGTGGTCCGTTCTGTAGTCCTTTCAGTTGTATGTTTTGGCGTTGTAGGGTTCTTTGTCGTTGGAATCGTGGTGACCTGCACCGCTGTAGTAAGCCTAGTTGTTTCTTCTGTTGTCATCTGCGTTGAAGGCTGTGTGGTTCGTTCTGTAGTCCTTTCTGTTGAATGCTTTGGCGTTGTAGGATTCTTTGTCGTTGGAATCGTCGTAAAATGGGTTGTGGGATTCTTCGTTGTTGGAATTGTGCTGTGGTGCGTCGTAGGGTTTTTCGTCGTTGGGAGAGTGGTCCTCTCTAAAATGAATCACATAGAAATAAGTCTTTCAACCCATTTTGGAGTAGTGAACATAGATTTTATTTCACAAGACGTGATTTTACATCGTGTCAACGTAGGTTGATTTTATAAATCTCAGAACGTGATTTTACATTGTATCAATGTAGACTGGATATGTCCCCTTTATAATCTTGTTATACCAATTTGACGTTTTGATGCTATACTTTGTATCACAGATAGTTCACAGACCTCATTTGTTATCTAGTTATAACTTTATTATTGTATTAGAAATTGCCAATAAGATGTTGCTCGGTGACTGTGTAAAAAAACTTGCTTCAGTCGCCTCAGGTACTCTCTTATCACACATGGTTGACTGTCCATGACTTTTGACACGTGACGTGATTAGCTGTCAGATGTACCATGGTAGTAAACAGTTTACGTCTGCGTCCAGCCAGAAATGAGCACCACATTCGTTACGTTGATACGAATGTGTTAGTATCAGCTGTAGACTTGTACTAATTGACGGACAACGAACTGTACTTTTTAGGGACAGTTAAGAGGGGCTTTATACTACAACAAGGTGACGATACTATTGCGCAATGTGGTCTAGTTTTCTACGTGCCCTCACGTAGAAGTGTATTGCATGCCACGATAGTGCTGAAATTTGCAAACTGTCATGATACGCGGAAAATATTTTCTGACTTAAGTGTCTGACGAAAAATGAAAAAAAAACAACAGATAAATCAAGTGCCAAGAAGCCCTGTCACCAAACTCTGACGTGGGCTCATGCGTTCATACTAATGAAGTGGAAAATGCACACGCCCTTTAGTGACCTTGAAGACAACTCTTGACAGTCAAGTCATGACGTGGAGAAGCTAAGGGTAAACAAAATCTCCTGTGTCATGAAACGAAGCTTAAAACATTACAATATAGTCGAATAAGCGTGCTCCTTTCATCTATTAAAAAACTAGACATTCTAAAGATGATTCCCGCTTATTTGATGCAAAATATATCTCGTTTAAAAATTAGTAGCTGTGCATTTTCAAGGACTTCACAATCTTTTAATGAATACTGTGTCAAGAAAAAGGCACAAAAAAGGGAAGGGGCAAATGATTGAACAACATAGTCGCTTTGCTGGTAAATATACACCACTTAAAACAAATTAGGACTAACCCTAACCTTTTAGTGAAGACCGTGTTAAAGACCAGGGACAAAAGAGAAAAATGGCCAGTTCTGTTCCCACATGTCAGGGGGGATATTGAAACAAATTACTGTATTTTACGTACAACAGACACGGCAGATTTTTCGGAAGCTTAGTTGCACCACAGCAGTGGAAAGATAGAAAAACAGCTGTATATATGGTGTATACGTTTACCATACGGCTTAACTATGGGGTTAATATGCTCTGGGAAGCATGTTTGAGGAGAAATTTTTTTTTGCTTTCCCGATGTCGCAGGCAAGTCAAATTTTCAGGACATACAGAACCCACCAAGTTCTGCATGAAAATCAATAAAAAAGGCTAAATAAGTGCCATAAACAAAAATAAATGCCTACGAAAAATGGTATTCATAGCCAGATTTGTGCATGGGCCTCCCTACCATACCTGTATCAACATTACCACGTAGATGCAAAAATAGTTCATACTACAAACAGGTAGCACACACTGAAGTCCTTACTTTAATTTGTTTACATCCACTGACATGATACATTCAAGTACTGTTTCTAACGTAAAAACTATAGGCCTATGCTGGCTACACAAATGACACACTCTGTCAGTTAACACTTAACAGCAATGATGTTACTAGTCTTTATGTTAGAAAACTGAGTGACATTTTCTCAGGGACTTACGTGTGAGCTGTGCCAGTGCCGTCCCTCCTCGATCGACCTGTAGTCGCGCCATGATCAGCAGCACAACTCCCACAGCTGTCCAGCTCGACAGGACTCCCATTTCACTCTCCTGGCGTCTGTTCGGAACGAGCAGCCTGTACGAGCTACTCAGCCTTCCCCGGTCGGAAAGAAAATGCCTCGCCCCTTCCAACTACGCGTACCCTGCTTCGGTGTTTGGTGGAATGCACAAAGACAAAGGCGATTGTGTCATGTTTGACTCACCGTAATGCCACACCAATTAACATAATCATGGTGTCACGTATCCTTTCCAGATTAAACAAATTATCGAAAACTTAAAAGGCAGGACTTCACAGAATGACTTGCTTTATTATCATTTAATGATAAAGTGTAAAGTTTTGATAAAATAAAACAGTTATAAACGAGAACACAACTTGATCCTTTGAAATATGTTGACCTCGCCAGCTGACCTCACCCCAGGGTCTGGCAGCCATTTACTAGAGCGTGTCCCTTAAATGCAGTCCCCTGACATGCCCTTAGGAGAGGCACTTCTTCCCTCACTGTGCCGTGGAGTGACGCACACCAAGCCCTTCGGCTAATCGTTGAGTGTCCAAAAACTGAGGTGGTCATATCCTCTGGACCTGTAGAACAGTCTACACAAACGGAGCTACACCGGTATTCCTCTGGACCCGTAGAACAGCTACGCCAGCATATTCTGGACCTGCAGAACAGTCTACACGAACGGAGCTACACCGGTACCCTCTGGACCTGTAGAAAAGTCTACACGAACGGAGCTACACCGGTATTCCTCTGGACCCGTAGAACAGCTACGCCAGCATATTCTGGACCTGCAGAACAGTCTACACCGGTACCATCTGGACCTGCAAAACAGTCTACACGAACGGAGCTACACCGGTATTCCTCTGGACCCGTAGAGCAGCTACACCAGCATCCTCTGGACCTGTAGAACAGTCTACTCGAACGGAGCTACACCGGTATCCTCAGGACCTGCAGAACAGTCTACACGAACGGAGCTACACCAGCAGCATCTGGACCCGTAGAGCAGCTACACCAGCATCTTCTGGACCTGCAGAACAGTCTACACGAACGGAGCTACACCAGCATCCTCTGGACCCGTAGAAGAGTCAACACGAACGGAGCTACACCGGTACCCTCTGGACCTGCAGAACTTCTCCAGCGTCTTCTGGACCTGCAGAACAGTCTACACCAGCATCTTCTGGACCTGTAGGACAATCTACACGTGGGAAACAACACCGATGTCCTCTGGACCTGCAGAACAGTCTACACGAAGGGAACTACACTGACTCATTTAGTGGTGTGATAGAGACAGAGATATGAGTGTGGTGTGTGCTGATAGCAGACAAGACAAGCGCTCAGAAAGAAAGATGGCATTCCCTTGCGCTGCGGTTGTGCAAGACCAAGGGCGAACATTACCCGCGCAAACTACCGACCGGCGACGCGCTGAACAACATCCCGTGGTCTGTCCAGAATGTGTCAGCCTGCCGAAACTCCTCTCTTTTAATCACTGGACGAGAAGTACCTGCTTGTGAAAGAGTAGACAGAAACGTTACTATCGTCGGTGTCATTGTGGTTGTGTATGTGGTTCTAACCGGTGACGTCTGTGAATTCAGCGTCATTAACGTTGTTGATTCTGTCGTCTTTGTTGTGCTTAGTTTTGAAGTTAGCAGAGTTAATAGATGTGTCGTTTCCTTCGTTGTTCCCTGGGTTGTTGGTTGCGTAGTCTCTTTTGTACTAACAGCAGTTGTTTTCTGTGATGTAGAGCCTCTAGTAGTTTGCTGAGTAGATATTATAGGTTGTTGCTGCGTTGTCGTCTGAGCCGTTGTCTGTGTTGTCAGTAGTGTGGTCTCCTCCGTGGTTGGTTTTGTGATTTGTTCTGTCGTAATCTCAGTCGTTTGCTGTGGTATTTGTACTGTTGTCTTATGGGTGAATGGCTGTGTAGTGTGTTCTGTAGCCATCTGAGTCATTGCTTTTGTTGTTTTTGTCATCTGAGTTGTTGATTCTGTTGTTTGAGCTGTTGTCTTATCAGTGGTGGGAAGTGTAGTTTGTGTTGTAGTCATCTGTGTTGCTGATTTTGTTGTTTGAGCTGATGTCTTCTCGGTTGTGGGAAGTGTAGTTTGCGTTGTAGTCACCTGAGTTGTTAATTTTGTTGTTTGATCTGTTGTCAACTCGGTGGTAGGAAGTGTAGTTTGTGTTGTAGCAATTTGAGTTGTTGATATTGTTGTTTCATCTGTTGTCTTCTCGGTTGTAGGAAGTGTAGTTTGTGTTGTAGCCATCTGGGTTGTTGATTTTGTTGTTTGAGCTGTTGTCTTCTCGGTTGTAGGAAGTGTAGTCTGTGTTGTAGTCATCTGTGTTGTTGATTTTGTTGTTTGAGCTGTTGTCTTCTCGGTTGTAGGAAGTGTAGTTTGTGTTGTGGCCATCTGTGTTGTTGATTTTGTTGTTTCGGCTGTTGTATTCTCGGCTGTAGGAAGTGTAGTCTGTGTTGTAGTCATCTGTGTTGTTAATTTTGTTGTTTGAGCTGTTGTCAACTCGGTGGTAGGAAGTGTAGTTTGTGTTGTAGTCATCTGTGTTGTTGCTTTTGTTGTTTCAGCTGTTGTCTTCTCGGTTGTAGGAAGTACAGCCTGTGTTGTAGTCATCTGTGTTGTTGATTTTGTTGTTTCAGCTGTTGTCTTCTCGGTTGTAGGAAGTGGAGTTTGTGTTGTGGCCATCTGTGTTGTTGATTTTGTTGTTTGAGCTGTTGTCTTCTCGGTTGTAGGAAGTGTAGTTTGTGTTGTAGCCATCTGGGTTGTTGATTTTGTTGTTTGAGCTGTTGTCTTCTCGGTTGTAGGAAATGTAGTCTGTGTTGTAGTCATCTGTGTTGTTGATTTTGTTGTTTGAGCTGTTGTCTTCTCGGTTGTAGGAAGTGTAGTTTGTGTTGTAGTCATCTGTGTTGTTGCTTTTGTTGTTTCAGCCGTTGTCTTCTCGGTTGTAGGAAGTATAGTCTGTGTTGTAGTCATCTGTGTTGTTAATTTTGTTGTTTCAGCTGTTGTCCTCTCGGTTGTAGGAAGTGTAGTTTGTATTGTAGTCATCTGTGCTGTTGATTTTGTTGTTTCATCTGTTGTCTTCTCGGTTGTAGGAAGTGTAGGTTGTGTTGTAGTCACCGGAGTGGAAGATTGTGTTGTTTGTGGTGTTGTCTTCTCGGTGGCAGAATGTTTAGTTTGTTCTGTAACCATCGGAGTTGTTTGCTCGCTAGTTTGTTGCGTGGTTCTGACAGTTGTTTCATGTGTTGTAGTTCCTCTTTTTGTCGTAGTATGGAGTGTGGAAGTCACAGAGGTTGGATCCGTAGTGACCTGAGTTGTTACCTGTGTTGTCTGTTTAGTCGTCTCTTCGGTGGTTGGTAGAGCTGTTTGTTTCGTTGTGACCAGAGATGTTATTTCTGTTGTTTGTGCTGTCGTTTCTTCAGTGGTCGGCGGAACTGTTTGGTCCGTTGTGATCTGAGTTGTTACCTGTGTAGGTTGTTTAGTCGTCTCTTCG